ATATAAATTGTTATTGAAAATTTTATGTCTTTTGAGAAAAATGCCACAACAGCTACATCATAAAAATTTAAAATTAGATGAAAAAAAACCCGAAATATTTCCAGAGGTTACCATAGCGCCCCCTATCGCTCACCTGGCGCCGCCACTGTTTTTCTGCCTCATTGTTTTCTTTATACTCTAAGAAATTAATATTGTTCTGGTATAATAAGTTGTACTTTTTGTTTTTAATTTTACTTTAGGATGCGAGAAAAATGTTCAGAAAGTTTCTTCAGAGTCTTCTGAAGAACATCTGCAGCCGTTTAAGGACAAGATGGAAGTTTTTGTTCTAACTGGTGAGAATATACATACAATAAAATTAAATTATATTTTTATATGTGCATGTTAAAAGGGGTTGTTAAGGAACAAATGCTTCAGAATGAGGAAACTGAATAACAAAATGTCAATTTAAATATGTTTGTTTTGTCTAAGACAATCTGTTCACGTCTTTCTTATCTTTTCAGTTTGTGTTTTCTCTCATTAGTTGTAGTCCTGAGCTCTTTTAAAATATTTTTCCTACTTATACTTTTGTTTTTTCTCTTTGTAGATCTTTATGTTGCTGTCTCATGTGTCTATGTGGAAAACAAGCACACATTTTGTATAAATCAGGTTGTTTGTGTCACATTTCTTACAGGAAACAATCATTTTTATCGCTGAGATTTGCAAAGTTTACATCTGTTAATTTTATTTACTTCAAAATTATTATTTCAATCAATTTTAGGTGCAGTATTTAAGTCAGCTTTCTTCTTTTGCAGTTTTTTTCTTGTCAGAATCAATCCAAACAATGTTTTGGCTTTGACTTGATCAGACATTTTTCTGAGGTCTGCAGCAGATTGCCAGAACATTTAGTAAGAGACGGCCACAGATAATAACTAGAATGACTTATTTTATCATAACAGCACCGCAGTCTGAACAATGGCCTCACTGTTTGAGGAATGACTGCGTAATTAAAGTTTCTCAGAGGCTAAATGGTCGTCTGGCTCTATTAGACAGACATTTCATCATTCCCTGTTCTCCTATTTTTATAAGGCTTGCAGCAGAATACAGCCTGACGAGGAGATTGAATTAAATGCTTCTTTCTGTTTTTCTTTGCAGCTCGAAAGGAGCATGCAGAAGCTTCCTATCAGCTGATGACTGTGCAAAAAACGTGAGAAAATTAAACCACTCAATGCAATTCTTACTAAAGCAGTGTTTATGCAGACATTTTTAAAAAATACAATTTTTTGTTTAAATTTCAGGATGCAAATACACAATCTTTGTTGTTTTTGACTGTTTTTTGTTAACATTATGTTTTATTTAAGTTTAAATTTACCTCTGGTTTGCAATATCTGTGTTTTTTATGTAATTCTTTGTATTTAGATTTATTTTTCTAATTTGGTGACTTTTCTTATTTAGCAACAATTAAAAGGAAAGTTCTCTCAGATTTACATGTAACTCAATGAAATACAGTTTATTATAACTTAATGGCAATATTTTAGGTGAACAAATTTATTAGAGAAATTATTCTCCAATGTAATATTCAGAATCAATTGATGACAAATTTATTAATTATTACAGTCGTTTTATGCTCAATATGTAGTTATTTAACTGTAAGTTTTTGCAGCGGAGTGAATTAAATGTTTATTTTCTTTTAAATGTTTTTTATGTTGTGAAAATCAACAAATATCTGCACCAGAGGATTACTAATTGATTTAATTTTAAGAATGATAAAAAATAAAGATATCTCCAGTGAAATTTTGTGGAGAAAAAAAAGTTCTATAAATAATTCAAATAAAAGATGTGATGTTTCTACATTTTTCAGTGTGAGATCCTTCAAATTTATTTTAAAGTCTGCACCTTCCTGTTCTCAGTTTTCAGGATGTTGCTCTGTACTTCGGACTCAAACCCAAACCCGGAGAGAAGGAGGTGACGACGGGTCACCTCTTCATGCTGTGGTTTGAGTTCAGCGCCGACTTCAAGGCCCGATGGAAGAGGGAGAACAAAAACATCTCAAAAGAAAGGTCTGTGTGTCTGAACGCGTCATTTCCACAATTACTTTCTGGATTTTATTAAGTTATCCACTAACCTCAGAGGAGAGTTTTCCTTTGACTCTGATTTCTTCCACATCTGGAAAATCTCCAGCAGCTTCGCTCTGTTTGTTCTGTGTCCACTTTCTGAATGCTCCGGTTTTAATCCGATAGATTAAAAGAGGCTCAGCTGACAGTGAAGAGGATCACTGGAGAGAAGAAAGTAGAAACGAGGAAGATAAACCCCAACAGTCTGGTACGACGTCAACTTTATGACATTTATTAATGTCTTATTTGCTTGTTCTGACTTCTAATCCAATATTTTGCTTCCAACAGAAGGAGCGGCTGCGCCAGAAAGAAGCTCAAGTTACTTCACCTTAAAAATGAAAACTTTTGGCTCCTGATATTTAAACATCCCCAGAAATCTGGAGCTGATTCAAAGAGACCAGAACATTTTCATCAGCCGACCAAAATGTTTGTTCTTTAATGTAATTTAAGTATTAAAAATGTGTTTGGTTCATGTCTATTAGACTTTTTAAAAATGTATAATTACTTTTACAAAAACAAACAACTTGCATGGATTCTCACTGTATTTTTTCAAAAATAAAACAATATCATGACAAAGTCACGGTGTATTTTCTTTATTTAAGTAGCAGAATACAAAAATCGAGTAGCATCAGGGAAAAAAGAAAAGGAGCATAAAAACAGATCAATAAATTAGAAGACCATTTTAAACTACTTTTTAGTAGTTAAACTGAAAGTGAAACTTATACACAGAGAATAATCAATTGTAAGCATTTATATCTATTTAGTTTTTATGATAACAGTATAGAAGTAATGAATCCCAAAATAAAGTGTCTTAGAAAGCAACAAAATTACATTTTCATACAGAAAGGTTATGTTACGACGTGCAAAATAATGTCCAGCAGGCAGAAGAAAATAAGCCACAAAAAGTCAGTGCTAAAGAAGCTAGCTTATTTTAGTGCTGGATGCAAATTTATTGGTGGAAAGTTGAGTGGAAGGAAGACATGAAACCACAGCCTTGTTTAAGTGAAGACCATTCATGGTTTTTGGGGAGGTTCAGATTTCTGAACAATCTTCCAGAACAGATGAAAGTCAAAATGTTGCCAGATACTTCATCATTGGTAGGCTACACTATGCATGTACAAAAACTACTATTATTAGCTCATACTGCAAAAACACAAAATATTACCAAGTATTTTTAGTTTAGTTTCTAGAGAACGATCTTAGCACACTTGAAATAATATAAAATTAATTTACAAACACATTTTTAGCAGGTATGGCAGATTGTTTGTAGTTAGGAATATTAATCAGTATTAAGGAATTATTGACTTTAAACAAGCTCCTATCTTGCTGAAGAGATACTTTTAGCACACTTGAAATAAGACAAAACTAAGACATTTACACTAGAAACTAGACCAAAAATACTTGGTATAACTTTTTTGCAGTGTACATCATACTGGTGTTATTATGGTTCTTGATTTTAATCTTACAGGAGAAGCAAACGAGTAAAGATGCTCTAATTAATTTGCATTTTGAAATAGAGAGTGGTATTTACTGTAAGTGTGGCATATTAATTTAACTATTTGAAAGTAAAATTGAATTTACAATAAAGATAGCAACTTTAATATCTTTTGTTTCTAAAATTTGGAACAGAAAGTGTAGACAATGAAAAATGTGCAATTCATCACTACATAATAAAATCAAATGATGCTCTAGGGGGCCCCCTGGTGGTGTTGGGGCCCAAAGCGGCCGCGTAACTCGCATATGCCTTGGGCCGGCTTTGGAGTCTGCAGCAGTTCAGTCAGGTTTCATCAAAGATGTCCTCACTCTGGCACCCTGACGCCGTTGTCTTGATTATTTGTTAACGGTCCGGTCATCCAGCTGAGCTTCAGTCCGTGTTGATGTTTACGCAGCGGCACTGCTTCACGCGCTGGACCCGCTTCCTCCGCGTGCTGGGCGTCTGACCCGGACAAAACAGCGTCAGGGTGATGGTGCTGAACGTTTTCGGTCTGCAGGCGGAGCAGGCCTGGAACACGCCGCCGTCCTGGTAAGTGTGCCGTGGGATGTAGAAGGAGTTGCACTGTCCGTAGCAGAAGCGGTTGGTGATGGTGCGGCTCAGGCAGCCCTCCTCCTGGATGGTCTGCTTCAGCATCTGCGTCTTGCACCAGTCTGTCCGCAGGTAGCGGCGCTCCGTGACAAGCAGCGCTTCCTGGCTGGACTCCAGGATCTCCTCTGTCGCGGCTGCGGACGCGGCGCCGCGGGAGAGAAGCGCGGAGAGAGGAGGCTGGAGGCATCCGTCCGATTCGTTCGGGTTGACGGCTTGAAATGGGTCGGACTCGGCGCTGCTCGGCCGCGGGAGTAGAAGAGCCAGGACGGCTTTAAAGATCAGCCCCGAATGGGAATGCATCGCTGAAGCTGAAAGGAGAACAATGGAGAGCATTTTACGCACAGCTTTTACGCACAAGCTACCCGTAAAGCCTCCGGTTTTGGCCGGGAAACCACCGTATTTTACCCCTCTGTCACGCAGATTTTCCGTATTATTTCCTTATTTTTAAATCCAAAACTTGACATAAAGCTCTGAAGAGCCCACTGCAGTGAACCCCACTGAAAACCTCCTGGTTATTCCTCCAAACATGGATTTCTGAACTCTTCTCGAGTTAAAACATTGTTACCAAATGAATATGAAGTTTTCTTTGCATTATTTGAGCTCTGAAAGCTCTGCGTCTTTTCCGTTATTTTCTGCAAATAAATGCTAAGTTTTTGCTTGTAATTTCAGAGACATGTCAGTAGTTCAATAACAATGTTCATTCTACTAAAACATAAACCTATAAAAGGTAAAATCAGAGAAACTGAGCATTTTGAGCGGTCTCTTCATTTTCTCCAGAGCTGTCTAAGCGCTAATTCAGGAAATAGTCTGTCAGTGTAACTCCATTTACCTGCTGTGTGTTAAATCCCCCTAAAACACTTTGTTCTGTCAACAGGATGTTCTTCCTCTGCTAGTCCTGGCTTCTCTGAAGCAGCTTTAAGTTTCAGCAGAAGAACACACCTCCCGCCCCGATCCTCACTTTATCTTTCTGTAAACGGAAAAAAACTTCCAGACTTTGTCAATGCAGATAAGTCGTTTATTTGACTTTACAGAACAAAAACAGCAAAAACAGAAGACAAACATTTTAACAAGATGCGGAAAACAAGATAAGAGTCGCTGCAGCCTGAAGAGAAAAAGCTCAGAATATTTGTAATGGAGCACTGAAGATGTTCATAAGCAGATTTTAAATAAAAGGAGATTTATGGATGTTCAAGAGACATGAATCATACAATTTTAACAAAATGTGAGTAAAGTTGTTCTCTGTATTGCTGTGAATAAATAAGCAATAATTTAACCTCCAGATCTTTAATAAAACTTAACACAGTTTTTCTGGATCGAGTCTGTAATTATGGGATCTTAGATTAGCAACAGCTTTAATGGCATCAATTGTAATCCATCAGCTTAAGGGTACTTGAATCACTTCCTTTCCTTTTAAATTTAGTTTTGAGTATTTACCAAAACAGTTTTAACACAGATTCCATTTCCTGTTACCAAATTTCTAATGCAAAGTTGCAGATGACTTTAGCATCATCTTTCCAAAAGATTCTGTTTTTACGGCCACTTGTTTATTTTTGAGCTTCAGATATAAACATTTAGATACTTTAGCTCTCAAACTTATTTTCATTTTGAGTCAAGTCAAAAGTCTGAATGTTATAAAAGGGTCAATGTATCAATAAAACCCACTAAACCTTTAAAATGTCAATAAATAGCCATTTGTTTCTTAAAATGAAATATTTAGCATCTTTCACACTGATCAATTCATCCAGGATTTTGAGATTGTTTATGTGGTGCTAATTTAGAAATATTTGTAAGAAGTTTTAATGATATTTATGATGCTAAATGTAGATTTTCATTACTCGCCGTGCCGGTCCTGGACTGTAGCTCAACATCAGGTAAAGCTGAGGCAGCAGTCACTTAAACTTAATGTTTTTGGCCAATTTTGAGAAAACTTTGCTGTAAAAATCTGAAAAAAAAAAAAAAAAAGGGAATCTGTAGATTTTGTATGGATTTTGCAGATTTGTGAAAAACTGGAGGGACTAATTGATGTAATTTGTAGAGGGCCACATAAAACGCTACGGCAGGGCCAGATTTGGTCCCCGAACCTCGAGTTGGACACATGTGCTTTAGGCGAATCACCAAATAGATCTTTTCAGATTTTTACGTTTAAGTCAATGAAAATGCAGCGTTTCTGCTGAAAACACCGTCCCAGTGATACAATGAAACAAATCCTTGAATGTGCAGCCTACAAACATTTATCCGAGAGGAAAACATTTCCCAACGTTTCCCAAATTTCAGATTGCAAGTTTGCTGGGAGCCACGGTGGTCGATGCTTCTTCTTCTTCTGAGAAATGGGGAACAGATTTCTTGGCGACCACATTGTCCAACCTTTGACCCTGTAAATAAGGGTTGATGCTCTGTGGAAACAGACAGGAGGAATGTTTACGCAACTTCATACATATTGGTTTCATATTGGTTTATTAGAAAAATTCATTTATTCAGGATGAACTGGTTCTTATTGACACCAAAAACTGTGAAACTTTTACATTTCACCTTAAATTGTCATTCGTCTTCATTATTCCATCTGCACTCTAAGATGCATTTAAATGCTGCATGTGTGGATTTAGAGCAAATCTACAAGAAATTAAATTTGGACACACAATTTATTTTTTTTTAATTACTAAAGTTGTTTTGTTGTATAATCATTTCACCCTGGAAAAAGAGATGAATCTATCCAAGTATCTGCCCTGAAAAGAGCATGTTTATAAAATTAAAACATATTTTTAAGTAAAAAATATATATATTTAAGGGGAAATTCTAAAACAAGCGCAAGGTTTCCCCCAGAAAACTTGCTAAGCCTGGTGGTCGGGCGCTCGACAGTCATTTACCCGTTGTGTTTTTAAGTTAAAAAATGTTTAAAAGTTGACAGAAATTTTGAAAATATCACTTGATTATTATGTGTTATTGAAAGATTATCACCTGAAAATCTTAAAAATGCAAACATTTAATAAAAACTTAAATAAGCAATGCTTAGCCTGGTGGGGGCACCAGTGAAGCCTGGTGGCCCGCCAGGCTTACGATACACTGGGGGAAACCCTGCAGCGTATCTAAAAATCAAGACATTTCTCACACAAATGAAAAAATGTCAAAGGAAAAAGTATTTTAAAAAACTAGAGGTAAATATTTTACCCTTTTCCTTCTCTTTGGTCCTCCCTTCAGCTTTTGGTATAAAAGCTCCTTGTTCTGAAAGAAAACACCAAAACATTATTCAACAAAACAAAGTTGTAGTTCACATGTTTTCAAATCAAAGACCAAATATATAACCACATTTTGCAGGAGGTAAAAATGTTGGACAAGATGTCAATTTAAAATAAAGTCCATGTTTTGCCCAAATGGAGATAAAGAACCTAAAACAAAGAAGCTCAAAGATCCTAAATAATTGCCACATTTTAGACAAAACAATCAGTTTGAAGCTTCTGATAAGAAACATTATATTAAACTATGTTTAAAAATAATTGTAAGCGTTTATGGTGTCTGTTGATTCCCTCACCCACTTTCCCAGAGCGGGGTAGTCATGCTCTGGGTCGAAGAGGTGCTGGTGTTTCTGAAACTCCCTGCTGAACTCGGCCGTGTCCGGAGCATTTTCCAAGCACCCATCTCCTGCTGTGAGTAAAAAAATAAGATACTTTTATGAATTAAAGTGTTGTCAGAGAATAATAGAGACATTTAATGCATTATTTGTGATTCCTTCTTTATACCTTCTAATGTAAATCTAAATAATTGCGACCGGTTTTTTCTCACTGACAGACTAAATCAGACGTTTCCTGTTTTAAAAGTTACTTCTACACTGTAAAAACAAAATATTACCAAATATTTTTGGTCTAGTTTATAGTAAGCTTGAAATAAGACAAACTAACTTACAAGTAACTTTTCAGCAAGATACAGAGGCTTGTTTTAAGTAAATAACTCCTTAATATTGATGAAAAAGTACATGTACCATTGGCAGACATTTTTCCACGTTTAAGGTAATTTATCTGCCAATAAAAGACACAGTCATCCTCTTAAGTTGAACAAAGCAACAAAAACAAAACCTAAACCTTCAGTTTATCCATTTTGACATTTATTGCTTTTAAAAGTCATTGTCTGCCTGTATATTTACATTGGTGGTTCAGAAAATAAAAACAGAGGTTATATTTAAAGTTTCTACCCGTTTTTCCCAGGGGGCAGGGGTTCGGAGGGTCTGGGTAGCTGTGGTCATCGCTAAAGTCTTTGGGAACATTGTCGCCTGTCAGCTCAGCCACAATGTTTGGGATGTTTCCGTAAGGACCGAGGTGCTGCAGGCCTTCATGAGCACCACCTGGTGGGCGGAAGAGACATTGCAATCAACCTTTTTCCTACAATTAAATAAACATCTTAATACTTACACTGCAATATCTAAACAATATTAATTTAAGTGTTCTTAATCGTATTCCGAGATATTCTAGAATAAGACCAAACAGACTAGTGAAAAATAGGGAAAATATTTTATTAAAATGAGAAAGAAAAAAAAAGTTTTCATTACCTTGTATGCTCTGAGGCCCGACGATGTTCGTGGCCTGATGTGCAGGGTACTCCACCCGGGGCCGAGCGATGCCCAGCTGCTCCATGACGCCGTGCAGCAGCCGCTGGATGTCGGCCTCGGACACCTGGTCCACCGCCGTGCGGGGACTGCGGGCTGGAGCTCTGCCGAGCTGCAGGCACAGCAGCAGTCCGAGCAGAGAGAGCCGCGCCGAGGATCCAATTTCTGTCATCTGCGGGGGTGAAGCGCACACTAAGCATCTTTGGACACATGCACATAGTCACCAACTAACAGCTGTTTTTACTTAATCAGTAAATAATTAGCCTGAACTTTGACCCATAACCATAACAGATAGAATGGAGCCAGCTGTTATCTAAACTGTAGCAAATTATAAAATGGAGAAACACATTTATGATGCGCCACTCTGTAAACAGCCCGTATATAGCCAAAATAATCAGATTAAAACGTTAAATTCAACCACATGCTCTGTTCGTTTTAATAGCTTTCATTTTATGTACATTTGAAAAAGAAACGTATTAAAAATAGCACTAAGATGGTAAAAATCAATGTTTTTCTTTACCTTGAATGCGCAGACGGAGGAACCTGCCTACTCCATCAAGTCACCATGAAAACAGGACTTCCGTTTTTCTTTCAAAATAAAATACATTAATCCATTTGTCAGTAACTCGCACAAAAACGAATTTCTGACCACTTTCAATCGATGTTATATACAGAAAATTGCAACATTTATGCTTTATCACTCAGGTTGCAACAATTGATACGCAAACTCGTTAAACGCAGAATTGTTGCAACCATCTATATCGTGGTACTTTATTTTGAAAGAAAATTTCACATTTCCGGTGTTGTGAAACCGTTTCACGGATCAGATGCAGTTGCTAGGAAACCAGAGTTCCCATTTTCTCATTGGTGGCACATAGAGCCGTTAACATTTATGCCATTTTGTTTAGAATTTCATTTTTATTAACTGTTCAACTTAGAAATTATGCTGAAATTCAAAATGCTGATATTTTAAATTAAAAGCTTAAGTTAAATTGCTTCTATACGACATGATCAGGCCTTCAAACCCCCAGATAATTCAATGCAGAACAGTCAAAACAAAATGTTCATAATTCAAACTTTAAATACTGAAATTTTCTGTATGAGTGAAGAAATAACGAAGGGACACTACCAGGAAGAAAGTTTAAGTTTTAACAATGTCTAGATTTTAAAAATCTTAGGCTTTGAACATTTCACAGAGCAATGTTCAATCATTAAAGTGGAAGTGAATAGCAACTTGAAACCTAGTAAGATTTGTTTCAGTTGCACTCAGAGGTGGATCCAACAGCTGATTTTTAGGGGAATGCATGACACTTTTCAGATTTGTTTAAAAGTTTTACTTCACAATATGCCACTTTGCATCAGTGCATTAAATGTACTGAAGTTTGTTGATGTAACATGACAAAATTTGTAATCCCAAGAAGTCAAGTCTTTTTGATGAAGTACAGAAAAGCAACAGTCACATAAAAAACATTTATTTAAAAGAAAAAAGTCTGATAAAACAAAATCTGTTCAAATATTTTTCAGAAATGGACAGATACTGGACAACTAGTAAAACTTAGATGGGTGAAGAACGTCTCCTCCAGTTTTTGTGCTGCAGTCTCTCCATGGCAGTCAGAACAGACGTTTTGTTTGCAGATCTGAAACTTCGATCTACAAACGTGTATTAATCATTCTTTCCACATAAACAGAAGCATTGTCCATTTTAAAATCATTTCTACCTTCATTAGGCATGCAGGTCCTGAACAGCCGGATGTTGGGGAAGGTTTCCAGACCAACGCTTCTCCTCAGCTTTGGGTCGCCTCTCGTTATGCAGACAAGAGTCTGATCAGAAACTGCAGGCCTGATCTTTGGCTTACTCTGAATCCAGAGCACAGTCTTCTCAGATCGTTTTACTGAGAAAAAAAAGCAACTTTAATCAAGTAAAATTTAAATTTCTCAGGAATAATTGCTTTTATTTTACCCTTTAAGCTGCATATCTTTTGGTTTCTTTTCTTGAACACATCCTCCAGATGAGCAAAGTTCACAAAATATTTCATGCTGTCCATAATAGTTTTCGGAATCACACCTAAAATGTGATGCATTTAGAAGAAAGTCAGCTAAAGATATTTTAAATTGATATTAAACCAATATGATTAATTTATTACCAAAAACATGAGGAAACTCTATGAAAGTGCGCAGGACAAGAACTCGAAGTTCAAGGCGTTCTTCTGACATTTCGCTTTTGTTTGGCGGCGGTAAGAGGCATGGGACAAAGACTGTGGCCAGATTGGAGCTGGTCATCAAGTTGTCAGAGCATCTGAGAAAAGGAGAAAATCCGTTTATGGTCACATGAAAATGTATGAAACTCTTTGGTACA